AAGGACCATCTATGGATATAACCTAGAACTTCTGCTCGGATGTGGCCTGTGGTAGCTCAGTAACCAAGTAGTTTTCCAAAGTAAGGAGAACACGGACTATTTCTAACAGGATCTCAAGGGCAGGCTGTTTGACACACACACACCCCCCCCCAGGGGAGGAGCAGTCTGTTAGGCCACAGAGGAGGACTTTGCAGCCAGCCCTGAAGATACCTGATAAAACAGGGTCAGATGAAAGGGGAGGAGGTCCTCCCCTATCAGGGGACTTGGAAAGGGGCAGGGAGGAGACCAGGGAGTGAGTGTGGGGTTGGGGAGGGAGTGAGGGAGCGGGATACAGCTGGGACACAGAGTTAACAAAATGTACCTAAAAAGAAAAATAAAAAAAAAAAGTAGTGTCGATTCATTTCTGTTTTATTCATCGGATGGCTGGGAATTAGAGAGGTTAAGTAACTTTCAAAGTCTAAAAGTGAGTGACAGAAAATCTACATTTCTACATTGACCAGTCCCACCCCCACCCATAATGTTTCTTTCTTTCTTTCTTTCTTTCTTTCTTTCTTTCTTTCTTTCTTTCTTTCTTTCTTTCCTTATTCAGTCTTTCCTGCAAGAAAGGTTCTTTTCCTAAATTCAACTGTATATCTAGCTATCTCTGTCTGTCTATCTGTTCATCCATCTATTCATCTATCATTCTGTCTATCTATCTACCTATCATTACATCTATCATCTGTCTATCGTCTATCATCTATAATCTATCACCTATCTGTTTATATCTATCATATATCTAATCTATCATCTATCCTCTACCTATCATCTTTCTAGTCATTTATCAATTCATTCATTATGTTTTCTATCATTTATCTTTTTATCTTTCTATCATCTATCCATCCATCTATTATCTATCTTCTTTTTATATGTATCTTTCATATATCTGTGTTTTTCATATATCTAGCATCTATCTACCTGTATCTAATCTATCATCCATCATCTATATATAGTCTATCTATCTATCTATCTATCTATCTACCTATCTATCCATCTATCTACTTGTTCCATCTTTTCTGCAAAAGACTATCTTCCTAAATTCAACTGCACATCCAGCTATCTATATCTTCTGTGTACCTATCAGCTATTCATCTATATATCATATATTTACCTATCTATCTATTCATCCATCTATAATCTCTCATCTATTATTCTATCTATTATCTAGCTATCCATCCCATTTATTTTCTATCATCTATGTATCATCTATCTATATATATCAAATCTATCATCTATTATCTATTTATCATCTAGCTATCATCTAGCTATCTATCTTATATTTATTCCATTTTTCCTACAAGAAAGGCTATCTTCCTAACTTCAGCTGTTCATCTATCATTCTATCAATCAATCAGATATCAATCAATCAATCTATCTATCTATCTATCTATCTATCTATTTAATCTACCATCTATCATCTATTCATCATTTATCTATCATCTATCTATCTCTCTATATATCTATATATCATCTATTTATATCTGTAATCTATCCACCTCTTATTACTTCTTTCCCATAAGGAAGCCTATCTTCCTAAATTCAACTGTATATATATATATATATACACACACACATAATTTATCTATCAACTATTTATCTAATGCATTCTATCTTTTCTTTGGTAAGGATATTCTTCCTAAACTCAACTGCACTTCCAAGCATGTACAAATACCTCTGGTCAGATAATGAGAACAGTTCAGCTACTTATTTATTTATTTATTTTCTTACTTACTTAGAGATATTGGGTGCTAGGCCAACTATCTCCCACTGAGACACATCTCTATCCTCATATTTTTTTAATGGTGGCAAGTATGACTTAAATAGTTTCCAAAGTTGACATTTTGCACAAGATGGTTTTCTAATGATCCTCAGGTCATAGAGGGGCTTTCTTTCAACGTTTAGAAACTGTCGGAAGACAGGTGGATAAACGTTTGCACATACAGTCCCCTGGGTAGAAATTTGTCATCCTAAGCATGGAAGAGGGTATAACTTCACATATATAAGGGTCCAAATTTGTCCCCCAGCAGTGGATTAGGAAAAATATTAAGAAAGAGAGGAAAATAAACATTAGAAAGAAAATGGGCACCTGAAAGCATACATACAAGTTACAATATACACACTGAGCAGGTTGTATTTAGGAATATTTTTATATATATACATATGTTCCAGAAATTAATGAAAAAGGTGGTCACAAGTTTGAAAGAAAGCAAGTAGGATTAGGAAGGAGGAAATTGGGAAATAGTGTAATTATACTATAATCTCAAAAAATAAAAAGAAGTAATTTTAAAAAGAGTGAGCAAGTTGTGTAAATTTCTGATTCCATGCTTTTCCTTTACTTTAAGTGTGTTATATCTGATATCCATGAGACCAGTGGTTCAAGAAGCTTAAAATGGCTTAGGATTTTAATGTGATTTTTAAATATCAGAAGACAATAAAAATTAAGAAATGTCACTTCTTAAATTAATTTTACACCAGGCTTTTGTCACTTTCAAATTTATTTTTAGTTTTTATCACAGCTAAGTGACTGGTACAAAATATGTTATTTTTTCCTTCAAAAAAAGAGTAGTTATTTCTGTAAAAAATATGGAAAAATGTTTCATTCAATATTATTACTGATTTCTACCATTTATTTGTAGGCGTAATTAAGGTTTGAGCACATTTCAATACTGAGTCATAAAATTATGGATGAATATAGAATGCAATAAATATTTTCATGAAAAGAAGACATTTTATATTTTCAACTGAATGTCTACAATATTTTGCTTTCAATTTTATTACAAAATATTCATTGTAGGAATCTTGACATAGCACCTTATTGTATAAAATAGAAGATATAACCTTTGTAAGTCTTGAACATAAAATTTATTGTTTTGCTGTCATCTAGTGGTAGTAAAGTATATGATACAAAGTTAAAAAGTGTAATAAGATCTTTATTTTTACATAAACTATAGCACCAACCTTTCAGATGTAAGTATCAAGCCTGTGCTACAAGTAGAAAACAACAAATAACAGTAAGTTTTCTAGTTTGACCATTATCCTCTGGTGAATTTTTAGTTTTTACTTTATAGTGTACGTATAATTTATGAAAATCTGAAACAAAAATATTACTTTAAAATCTGAGTGGCTTTAAGGAAATTTATATAAATGCTATGTTAACCTAGAGAAGCAGGTTGTAAGCAAAAGCCTACAAGAAATATTATTCTTAAATTTGAAATATAAATACTAAAATTTCATGTGTCTCCAAAGACCAACAAACAGCCAAAAAGGTTATTTTTCAAATGCATGTTCTAGAAAGTTATTAACATATTGTTATCTAAACATATCTTAAAATGAGGAAAGGATAATACTAATATGGCAAAAAGCACAAAAATGGGAAGAAATAAAAGCCATCAATAAACATGAAAACCTCTCAGACTTCTAGTAGTAAATATAAAATATAAAGTAGAAAGTCTTACACATAGTCTTCATTTTTCTTTTTTTTACTATCAAGTTGGCATAGACATTGAATATTTTACTATAAAGTGCAGTAGAAAATTCATTTTCAGCTGACAATGTTCTAAGTGCATTCTGAACAAATTTTTTCACTGTTATAGTTATATACCAAAGGCTGCACAGGCCAAAACTTTTTAACTAAGATATTTATTGATATTTATCAAAATATTACTTGTAATAGGCTATAAACTTTAAGGAACATTTACATTGTGGCATCTGAATTTTTTTATTTTATTTTTCTTTTTAGTTACATTTTGTTAACTCTGTGTCCCAGCTGTATCCCGCTCCCTCATTCCCTCCCCAACCCCACACTCCCTTATAAATCATGTTTTTTTAAACATTTAATGACTTTAAAGAACCCATAGGTAATAATGATTATGATACAGTAACTGAAAAGAAGACCTTATAAAATTGTATGATTCAAATTTATTTTAAAATACTTAAAACAAATGTTTTCACTGAAGAATAGTATATTCTTTTGGAGTAACTATACAATATGTACACACACATAAGATAATAGTATAGTAGCTGGAAAGAATCATTCAGATTTTTCTATATTTTTCAATTTATATCTGAACGCACTTAAAATGGATAGGCTTTTCAAGGCAAAGACATTGATGAAGTAAAAAATGCTTAATAAAAATGATTTATAAGGATCAGTTGTTTCGTAATTGCAGAGGAGGAATAGACTAAGCTGACCACAAAACTGCAATAGCTTTTAAAGTACTAACAGATCTACTGCCCAATTTTCCATGCTAGTCAATACTGTTTAAATCTTTCTCCTTTTTACATTATTTTATGCAAAGAAAAAGGCTGTGTTAACTCCATCTGGTTATTGAATTCAAAGGAAGTAAACAATATATTTATGGAAAATATTGGGAATTATAATCTTCATTTTCACTAGATTCCACTTAGAGCCTATAGAGTATGGAGGATTTGGGGAATTTCCTCACTGGACATTTCTTGTTAGCTCTCTAAAGTAAATCCAGGAGACATTTAAGTTCTCTCTTAAGGTTGTTACTTCCAACAAAAACTCTTAATTAAAACATAGCATGCCTACATATGCATAAAAAAATCCTGAAATCTATCTGGACCTTCATATGCAAGAGCCCTGCGTTTCCTTCCTAAGAACATTGTTATGAACTGGAACTGTATTCTCCTTCACCTAGCCTTGCCAAATTCAGAGAGAGAGAGAGAGAGAGAGAGAGAGAGAATGAGAGCCAGAGCTTGCCTTCATGTCAACCACAAAGAAATATTAATTTGAGAAACCATCTCCTTTGCTCTGAGGCAAACAGCAAAGAATATAATAATCCTGTTATGAAGTGCATTATGATGGTTGAGAGGTGTTGTTACTCTGATATAAACCCCTTCCCATAACATGTCTTTCCTGTTTTTGCATAGCCATAGTCAGTATCTAAGAAACAGTGTGAAACATTGAATAACAGCAACAGTTCCACAGCAACAGAACAAACATACTTGGAAACTTCACCAAAAAATGCAGCAAACTTACAGTAGTTTAGGTTTATGTGTCTTGGTTTGGCAGAGTCCTGGTAACTGTAAAAATTACACATAAAGCATTGTGTGCAGCATTCTGGCAGAGAGGTTAAGCGCTGATTACTGTTGTAGTTCTCTGAGCTGTACACACATTAAGAACTTTGCCTTAACTTACCTTCCAGCAAAGGAGGTTCTTCATCAAAACTGTCAGATTGTGAGTAATAATCTGAGTTGGATCCTGGCTGAAAAAGCTGCCCTGTATAACCTGATGGCAGGAATATCTCTGGTGGAACTGGAAAGGAAGGCTGGGGATGTTCAGTGGCTTGAGTTCTAGAAAGAAAAAAATATCTATATTTTTACATACAAGAAAGAAATAGCCTGTCAAATCAAAGAATGAAAGTATAATTTTCTTCTGAATGAATTCACCTAAGTTTAAGGGATACTTACTAATGATATAATGAACCTGCTGAAAAGTTGATTTTAATTCAAAAATTTGAAGGGGTTGTAAAAAGCTGCTAAAATAATGATCTAGAGTTACAGTGCTAATTGAGCACATACAATATGATAAGCACTGTCTCTTTTCTCATTTAAAACTCTGTATGGTCAAAGCTACCCTTTAAATGCCAGCTTACAGAAAAATAGAGTTGGGAAAGTAAATGACCCACACAGAATCATACTTGGGTTTCCAGACTGAAGTTTGATGAGCTGTGCTCTGCTTCCTACATTGGAAAGCTCCTCTGCTTTTCATGAGGAAGTTATCAATATTAAAGTTTCTAAAACCTGCAGAAGTAGCTAATAAAAATTATAACTTAGTAGTATCATCAACCCAAGTAAAATAAAAATATATAAACTCAGTCTTTCTCACGGAGAAATGTACTCTCCACTAAGGACTAGTCCCAGAATATTACTGTCCATCAAATTATGCACAAACGTCTAGAGCACCTTGCACAGCATGGGAGTGGGGAACTTCTGAAACTCTTTGTACAATGTGCAATTTGCTTTTACCAAAGCACAATGCTTTTACATATCCATGAATGTGTATGTTGTCTTATCATATGCATGACAAACTTGAAAAATATTTGATCCTTCAAAATAACTTGCAGTAGTTCTAGAAAAACAGAAAAAAAGAAGACAGCCTATGAAACTGGTTTATTTTTTCTTTTAAATTTTTATTTTTTTATAATAATCACAGGTTATTTACTTTGTATCCCAGCCATAGCCCCCTCCCTCATTCCATTCCAATCCCACCCTCTCTCCCTCATCTCTTCCCTGCTCCTTTCCAAGTTCACTGATAGGGGAGGTCCTCCTCCCCTTCCATCTGACCCTAGCTTATCAGGTATCTTCAAAACTGGCTATAATGTCCTCCTCCTGTGGCCTAGCAAGGCTGCTCCTCCCTTGGGGAGGTGGGGTGGGAGGTCAAAGAGCCAGCCATTGAGTTCATGTCAAAAATAGTCCTTGTTTCCCTTACCATGGGAAACCAATTGATGACTGAGCTACCACAGACTACATCTGAGCAGGGGTTATTTTTTCATATGCTCTTTTTTACTTTCAGTACAGGAAATAAAAGTCAATAACTCTCTATCACATACTTAAGGTCTTTGAAAATATTTTGTTTTACTTTGTTTTTGCACAAGGCCATTAGCCTAAGATAAATATAGAGTTCAAGATTCTGAACTTTGTAATTCTTGAGATCTCTTTATACTAAGTTTTTTAATTTTTTTTTACAAAAATAACTTTTGATAATTTTCTTTTACAATTTATCTTAATTTAATAGAAATCTCTTGGGCAGAGTGCAGGGAATCTTATGAAAGAAGTGGGAAATAGTAAGACCTGGAAAGGACAAGAGCGCACAAGAAGAGCAACATAACCAAAAAATCTGGGCACAGGGGTCTTTCTGAGACTGATACTCCAACCAAGGACCATTCATGAAGATGACCTAGAACCCCTGCACAGATGTGGCCCATGGCAGTTCAGTGTCCAACTGTGTCCCATAGTAATGGGAACAGGGACTGTCTCTGACATGAACTGATTGACCTGCTTTTTGATCACCTCTCCCTGAGGGGGGAGCAGCCTTACCAGGCCACAGAGGAAGACAACACAGCCATTCCTGATGAGACCTAATAGACTAGGATCAGAAGGAAGGAAAGGAAGACCTCCCCTATCAGTGGAGAAGGGGGAGGAAGCGAGGGTTTGGGAGGGGAGAAGGGAAGGAGCTACAGGGGGATACTAAGTGAATAAAGTGTAATTAATAAAAGTTAAAAAAGAAATCTCAACAAATCATATTCAATTGTTTTTATATACTTAACCTTTACCAATAAAACAACTTACCTTGGCAAATAGAAATATAGAGATAAAGGGAAGACAGAGCCTTGTTGTCATACATTAAGCCAATACTGGCTTATTAAGGGTGGAGATATGGTTTAATATCTTCGAATCTTGCAGCATGCATAGGGATCAATGCAGCTACCCAGTCATGTGACATATTACCTATTTTTCAATGTTGGTTGGAACCAGGTTTTTATGGGCCCCAAGTTCAGCCACATTGATGCAGTATATAATCTTGATCTTTCCTCATTTAGTTGAGTTGACATCTCTCACTCTGACATCTTAATTTCTGAGAAATGTTGTTATGAACAATCAAACAGTTAAAGAAGGTTGTTTTGGGCAGAATGAAAAAGAAAGCTTTAATCTACCCACAGTTCCTGGCTTAAGATGAAATCTTTTGCTTCCTCTCACTAGACTTTACTTTAGTCAAAATTATAGGTAGTACTCAAGTAGAAATGCCATTTAGAAATGAGAATGGATAAAAGGAATAGGGATTTCCAGGCAATGTGCTCCTTTCTATATAACAAGACACCTGAGCTAGAAAGCATATCACATTTTTTTTTCACTTCAAGTCATTATACTGACCACTATGAAACAGCCTAATAGTCATCGCACTTGTTCCACCTCGAGCACTCTATTGCTGTCATCTTTTTAGCTCTTAAAGGATAAATCATAGATGGTGCAATGGGAAGAAGTTTCATAAACTCACCATTTGAAGCTGTAGGAACATTGTACAACAGAACCTCTCTTCTGCTTATATGACCGCTCAGTAAGGAGTGCAGCACCGACTGCTTATGTGTGTAGGATGATCAGTTAGCAAGAACAGGGTCCACATTCTCCAGGCAAAGATGGAACTGACCACTTTACATTCCACTGCCTCAGGTTTATTCCACTTTCCTCTTCCTTTCTTAGCTTTTAAGGTAATTTGTCTACACCTTAAACAAGCTTTCAATAATTTATATATCCAAAGGATTTTGTTATGAGGTTATTTGTCCTAGATCTGGTGGGATGATTTAGTCAACATATATCTTAGTTGCCTACAATGGTCCAGTTCACTGCTATTATTCAAACATTTATCTATCTATGCTCTTTGTTTTATAATAAACCATATGTTCACCCTCACATAGAATGAATCAAACAAACTTAGTCCCCATACCTTAAACCTGTTACTAGCTGACCGATATGGTTAATGTGTATTATGAGTTTCACTGGATTTAGAATCAAGTAAGAGACAAACACGTGGGCACATGTGTGAGGGAGAGAGACTCTAGATCGGACTGATTGAAGTGGAAATACATAGCCTCATTTAGGGCTGCAACATCGGTGGGATGAGGTACCCTAATGTGAACAGCATTCATCTCTCCCCTTCTATATCCTGATTGTGTCATAACATGAACACAAATCTCACATTTTATCTTTTATGACACCCCACCACTCCTCATGATGGACTGTAGCCTCCAACCATGAGTCTAAACAAAACTAACACCTATTTCCTGCCTTAGGTTGCTTTTGTGATATACAATAACAAGAAAAGTAACTGATTAAAAATTTTGAAAAAAATCAATTTAACTCTGTGACTGGTTTCCCAAAAATAATAGCTACCTCTTAGGTTTGCTCAGAGTTCCAGGGACATACTTTATAAAGCCCAAGGCAGTTCATAACACACAAAGAGAGCTCAGGAAATGTTAATTATCACAAAAGTTGAAAGGCATGATCCTTATTCCATTTCACTAAAGTAGACCCAAAGAAACAACATGCAGAAAAGCAACTGAGCAACCAAAATCAATAGGATAACAGTGATTTGAAAGTTCTGCTTATCTAGCACAACCAACGGCTACTGAGAGAAGGATAATCAGTTTTCTCCTGGGATGCACTCCCTGATAAATCATCTGCTCTCAAATGGTTAGCATTAAACACATACATGTAAGAGAGCAACACTAAATGAACTCAGGAGATTCAGCTGCACATGTGTGTGCAGTGTGTGTGTGTG